CCCACCGCACCATGCCACTGCCCCATCACCATGGTCCTTGAACACCCTACAGGGATGGTGACCCCAACCTGATTCCCTGGGCAGTCTATGCCATTGCCCAACAATCTTTTGGAGGAGAAATTATTCCTAATATCCAACCTGGTTCATCATGAGGCCATCACCTCTCCTCCTATGCTGTTACCTGAGACCAGAAGCTGACCACTCCTTGCTACAACCCTCTTTCACGAGCTGGGGAGAGCCATAAGATCTCCCTTGAGCTTCTTGTGCTCCAGACTGAGCCACCCCAGCTCCCTCAGCAGCAGGGATGTCCCTCCAGTGCTGCAGCAGCCAGCTGGGACACTTCCAGAACAACAGCCTCAGCACCTTTGGCTTTCTGTACATTAGACAGAACTGCGTTCCCGCAGTAGGAAGTATTTCTGCAGCAAGGTTAGATGATCTTCTTGTTCCAAATTGAAGTGTGCTCTGAGCACTCTGCTAATCAAGTGTGACAGTGCGTGTATCAATTGGAGATCATTGTGATGGTGATTATTCCAGGCTGGACTGTACAGAGATGATGAATAACGCTTCGGGGAACAGCAAGTAGATTTCTGCTGCAGAGAACTGTTGCATCCAGGTGTTTTTCTTCAAAGGCATTCATCTTAGTCTGAGGATACATGCAGGAATACACTCTTTTGGTGTGTATAAACCTGACTGTATGGGATCAGGCGGTGTTTGGTTCTAACAGTGCTCACAGCACGGGATGGCTGCAGACCTGGGCAGGTCCCCGTGATCCTGCTGTGCAGGAGCAGAGGAGGACACCCCAGATTGGGGGACCCGGGAGAGATTTTCCCCACAGCAAAGCCTTGTTCTCCTTTCTGCCTTTGGGAATCTGCTTTCTGCAGGAGCCAAAGGCTCGCCTCACGCTTTGCCCGCCATTGTTATGGGCTGAATCAAAGGGTTTTCAGCTTTGGGATTATTGTGGTATGAAAGCCACAGACTTAAAAATTGAAAGATGCAATTCAGCTGCTGGTATATAAATATGCAGAAATTATAGCTCATTCCTAATCTTAATTGAGCACCATATGATCTGCATTCACTGCAGTCAATTTGGAAACATTTAAAAGCTATTTTGATGGCTGTTTTTACAGTTACTGATTTGTTAATGTGTGTTTTGCAAATGCAGTTTTGATTGGCTCATCTTAATTTGCCAAATGGAAGGCACTTCTAATAAAGCTAAAAGGAGCGGAGAATTTCATTCGACTTTGCATTTTAATACGTTGGCTGGTGTTTATTTTTCCACTCCAGCCTGCGTAGGGAGAGAAGGGGTTTGCGGTGAAGAACACACCCAGCTATTAAGTACTTTGATGTATTTGAGGGAGAATATTGTTTTTCTGGTGTGGCTGTCTGTTGGTGAGCGTGGCACTGGCTGGGTGGAAGCCAGGTTACCATTAAGGGCTGCTCTTGTAAAGAGAAGAGGCTAGTGATGCTGAGGGGGAATGGCTGGGCAGCACCAATGCATTGCCACCATGCAGCCTTCCTTTGGCACAAGCGTGGGGCTTTGCCCTGGGCTTTCTCCCAGCTTTGATGTGTTTTGTCCACCTGGTAGCATGTAGACATGGTTTGTGCGAGCAATTGGCAGCATCTCCTGTGTGCTGGTGGGGAATGGAGGCTCCCAGGGGAGTTCAGGCTCTGCGTCTCCCATCTTCCAGCTTGTGTGGCTCCATGTCTGCACTGGGGAGTGGGGTCTTGGCATTTATTCCACACTACACATTCAAGTTCTGATGGAGCCTTTGATTCCCAAGGTTCTGCTTGCTTCCAAATCCCATTCCTCTGTTCTGATTTACAGCTCTGGAGAAATACAAAAGAGCAACTCGTTACTTTTTATCACCAGTAAATTTTTCAGCTCCTTCCTAATCTGAAAAACCAGGCAATTATTGAGACCCAAGCATCACGCTGCCGCAGCAGCAGGGGGAAACTGCCCTGCTGCAGGAGGCTGAGCGATGCAAAGGTTCTCCTGTTCTCCTCTTTGTGGTGACCCCACCTCCACCCAGCTGACTGTGGGAACAAAGGAGTCCTCAACAACATCAAGGCCATCTCTGCTCCCTCTCCTCCAACACGTCATTTGTTGCAGGCAGCGATCAGATCAGTTGTGAGGGTGGGTGGCAGGAGCTCAGGTTTTTCAGGTCTGACTCGAAGGACCCATGGTTTATCAGAGTGCTCCACTCCTGCAGGCACCACATCAAATAGTCTTCTCCTCCACCTAAGATAGGAGTCACCCACTGTCTCCTTAACTTTCACAACCAGCCAACAAGACAGTGTTTTGGTCTTTCAAGCCTCACTGCTTTCTTCTAGACCTTACAGGGTTCCTCCAGTTCCCATACTGTTCTTGCATTGCCTGTGGATCACCAATCTTCTTGCCTCAGCCTAATACTAGGCCCTAAAAGGTCTTCATGGACAGCAGCTGGATTTTCTCATGCTTTGCTCTGCTGAGACTTCAGTAAGCTAAACGCAGTGAGCTCCTGCACTCTGCTTTGCTCCTGTGGAGTTTGGTTGTTCTTGGCCGTGGCTGAGCAGAGCTGTGTCCCACATCACGTGTGAGGTCTGGTGGGGAGGTCTAATGCTGTGGCCAGGCACAACTTTCCTCCTCGTTCATTTCCAACCAGTGCCCTCTTATCATGCAGGTCGCAGCTTTGTTGTGGGATCCCAGCTGCGTTTCACACTATCGAATTTTGTCTCCTCTCTGCAATTCCTCTCCTCGAGGTCCTCTTGTTATTGATGTCTCCCCTTAGTTTTGTGCCATCAGCAGATTTCATCACCATGCTCCCACTTCTGTTACTTTTTATGACCATTAGTGGAAATATTAAACAATGCTGCTTGCGATGCGGATCTGTCAAGAAACGACTCCCCCGCTCCTCTGCCTTTCACTTGCCTTGTTCAGGTTCCTCCATCCCTTCCAAACCCACTCCTTGTTCCACCTCCTCCCTGCAGTACCACATGAGATGCTTCACTGAAGCCCAGGTAGATGCAATCTCCCACATTCCCTTTGTCTCAGAAATCCATTATCTTAGCTAAGTCGGGCACAATTAACCTTTGTTTCACCTTTGCTCCAATTTTATATCATTTTCCATTTACCTCTGCTACTGGAACGGCTCCTTCCTTCATACATTTTTTTAAATAAAGTCAGATTAGTCGGCCTTTAATTATCCAATCACCATTTTTCTTAAGTGTCAGGATTACATATGCTAGGCTCCACTAAAATGCAGGAGCAGTCCCTGGGGCAGCAATCCAACACCGCAGCTCCTCTCTGTTGAGGGGGGGTCCAAATCACTAAGATAAACCACAAAGGACCATGCACTGGTGTTTCCTTTGCCCTTCACCATAATGTTTCTTGTGCTTTCTTAAAGCTTTATTGCTGTTAATAGGTCATGAATTAGAGGTAATAACTTCAGGAGCTTCATTAATTTCCTTACTGGGTGAGAATGAAAAAGGTGACCCGGATAAGCCCATAACATTCTGGATATGCTCATCAATCTTTTGAGATTGAACCTCTTTGTTCCTTTTTACAATGCTATATTTCTTCCCCGTGGCTTAGGTAAAAACGCTTCATAAACCTCTTCAACAGAGCCTTAAAATACACAGAAGTGAGTATTTTCACCTCCAGAAATCCGAGTTCAAATTTTACCTCTAGCAGTAAGTAAAAATAAGAGGTGTTCTCTGTGACTTTATATCTTCATAGGAGAAGTGCTCCAGCCCTATGAGTATCTTTGTGGCCCTCCTCCGGTCCTGCTCCAATAGATATTCTATGTCTTTTCTATGCTGGACACCTCAGGCCTAAATGCAGTGCTGCAGATGGGGCCTCACGAGGGCAGAGCAGAGTGGGCAATCACCTCCCTCATCCTTCCTGTCACCTTCGTTCCTCATTTCCAGGAGGAGATGGCACTACTGAAAGGTGTCATGTGTGATAGCTAAAGCCTGCGTGTTGCCTGAGCATCCCACTGCACCCAGGGAAGCTCAACCATAAGGTAAACTGCTAAATCTAAAACATAATTTGAATAAAATGCCCAGTTCCACTTAGCATTGGGGAGCACAGAGGTGTCTCTGGGTGCAACTGAGCAGCATCCTCTTTTCTGGGGGACGAGATATGCAATGATAGGGCTGCTTCCATCCCTGCTGACAAAGGGAGCCCACAGCCCCAGCTGGCCATGGCCCCAGGCTGATTGCTCCAGCTTCCATTCAGGGGCACTCGTCCCATTCGTCCCAGCTGAGTGCGCTGAAACCATGCAATGTTTTCATGCAGAGAGCACAGAACCTGTATGTTCTATGAATCCGTCATAAAGCTGACGTGGTGGAGATACCTAATGCATGAGTACTCTGATGATGGATGCAAAATGCACACTGGGCTGCAAGGAGAGGCATTAGGGGAGAATTAGGAATGCACTTCCTTCTCTCTTCTTTCAGAAGCCAGTTCTTTAAAGAAGGAACACAGGGTGGACCATTTGCTTATGCGTTTTACTCACACTGACAGGCGTTTTGCTGCCAAAATGAGCCTGCATTTGAAGCCCACAAGTAGAACCAGCCCTGCAGCATGCTGCCTCGGGGCAGAGAGCACATGGACATACACGCAGGGATTCCTCTGGGCTGGGTGCACGCAGAACAACATGCACGTGGCAGGGTGCGTGCACAGCCCCGCCTGGTTTTCTCTTCCTTGGACACACACACACACCAGACAAGAACTCCTAAAGCTAACAGGATGCATGCTTTTACGTGGCAGCACGCCAGATTGACCAGGACAAAGCACTGACTGCTTGCCTTAGTCACTGCCAAACTCAAATATAAAGATATGAGTGATTTGCACGGAAGGTTGTGTTGTTCCCATGCCACCATCGCTCACCTTGGCATTTCCTACAGTGAAGTGCAAAGCGCTGCAACTCTGACGCAGGATCGAGCTCTGGCAGCTAGTGCATTTTTTCCCCTTTTTTTCTCCCTAACATGCTGATTTTTTTCCTTTTGCCCCCTTTCAGCAGACAGCAGTGCTTCTGGGAAGCATGCTCCATAGGGGATGGCTGGAGCACAACAAGCATCGTCTGCCCCAGAGATGTGTCGTCCCCAGCGCAGCGATCCCAGCAGATATTTAGCTGGAGAGGTCACCTGGAGCCCAGCCATGCTCCTGTGGTTTCTTCGTGCTATTTTTGTTGTGCACAGAGGAGAGGCAATATTTGTACAACCGGCAGCTCAAAGGTTATTGGTTTTGCTCAACATTTGTTTTTCAAATGTAATACTGCTGTCCCTGCGTTACTGCCAGAGGAGTTTCAAAACCTGGCTCGGAGCCTGTGGATTTCCGTTCTGTGCTAACGGCCCGCTCCAAGGAAAAGTGCACAGGATGAGTTTCCTGGAAAAGCATGGGAAAATTTCACACCAAGCGTGCTGGGAACAGGGGATGAGCAGAGGGATGCATCGCTGGCGAGGGGACACCATCCAGCGCATCGCTCTGAGCCGCATCATACCGTCACAGCTGATAGAACCTCAGGTGGAACGGTCCCAAATTCCCCCTTTCCTCGGAGCTGCTGCCTGTGCCCATTGAGAAGGGCTGGGGATTGCACACGGCTCCCACACGCAGCTGTCGCAGCACGAGTTGACTGTAAAAGCACCATATGCTGCTCCGCGCTGTGAGAGCTGCGCATCACCGCAAGAAGCCCTTTAAATATTCTGGAATTTAATTACGAGACTGTCGATGCTTTAAATACAGGAATGCATAATGTCTAATGAGAGGGAAGCTCATCTGGAAAGTGCTGGGAGGGAAAAGCCCTGGAGGCTGCCACGTGCCAGCGTCGTGGGATGCACACAGTGTCACACATGGGTAGGAGATGTGCCCTGGTGCCGGGATGCTGAGCCACCCGAGTTATCTTAGGCACATGAGCACCCATGAGGTTGTTTGGGTGGGATCCTCATAAAAGTATCTTATTTCCCAAAACATGATAGCGTTCTCGTGCACAGCTCACCCCTTCTCCATGTCACCTGCCCTGTGGTGGTTAAAATGGTTATTATCTTCCTCCGTGTTAAATGCTATAGGTGTCATGTCTACAAAAATGAAGCTGTGTTTAACATAGCACTGTGATTATTGGCCTAATGGCAGGAGGAGAAGCCTTTGGGATGAGAACTACAGCATGGACCTTGCAGAATGTCCTCAAGGAAGTGTCCCTGTACCACCCAGCAGGTCTGGAGGGCCTGGGGCGCCAGCAGCTGAGTGCATAGCAAGCTGATTCATAATAGATTGCTCCTATCTTCCTATTTCAGTTAACAAAGAGAACTCAAACGAGAAAAGGCAGAATGTATTTTCCAAGCAAGTAAAGAAGAAAGTGCTTGGTAAAGACTATAATCAGGCTGGAAGTTAGGAAAAATTTCTTTTCCAAAGAGCAGTCATGCAGTAGCACAGCTGCTCAAAGACTCAGGGGGTTGTCATCTGTGGGGCTGTCCCAGAGCCGTGGGGATGTGGCACTGCAGGACATGGGCAGTGGGCATAGTACGGTGGGTTGGGGTTGGACTTGATAATCCTAGAGGCCTTCTCCAGCCTTAATGATTCTGTGAATCTATGATGCACAAAATAAATGGACTAGAAACTAGACCCTAGGAGCCCAAGCCCCCTCTTGGCTTGTAAAAACTGGCAATGAAACAACATTCTTCTCTATTAAGCACGTAGGGACAGTGTCCATATCTGCACGAGGCACTGCTGCGGCATGGCTCTGCTTCTGAGGATGCTGAATGCTAGATGCCTGCTCAGCACTGGAAAATGGAGCTGTTCAGGGCATGCTAGGGCAAGCTTTGGGGATATTGCGATGATTCTGGCTTCAGCAGCTCTGCTAAAGTAGTAGATCCATGTCCTGAAGAAAGGGATGGGTGATGAGACACCATACAGATGCAGAAAAGAGTCTGTGTTTGTGGGGCACAGAACTCAGCGAGGCTGGCGGCTGATTTAATGGAGTGTGGCATGTCCTGTATCATTAACCCGTTGCACCTCATCAAATTAGCGTTGCAAATGGAAACCACATTGGCTTCATTTTTAAGACAATTTCAAGAGGGAAAATAGCTTTTGCTGGTGGAGGTGGCATTTGCTTTTCTGAAAAAAAGCAAAACCTCTTCTCATCCCTCTGGAACTTTGGCTCCCCTCAATTCTGATCCAGAATGATGGTTTGGCCCTTCCACATTTTTGGGGATGCATACAGAGAAGGTGCTGGATGTGATACATGCATTGCTGCAGGAAAACTGTGAGAAAGAGGGAACGGCCACAACGTCACCATGTGCTACCTGCTCCAAAAACGGCTCTGAAACCAAGCCTGGGGCATTTTCTCATTTCAAAAAGTACTTTTGAAAGCAGGAGGTGCTGTGATCCCTCATGGAATGCAAAACTTGCTTGTATGGTTCAAAATAAACCGGCATCTGTGCTATTTGGACCGCTGCCACTTTCTTCCTTATCAGGCTCGCTTGCTGAAGGGTGACTCAGTGCAAAGCCAGCAGTGCCCCAGGACTCTGCTGATGTCATCGATTGCATCACGGGGCTGTGGGGCTGGGAGGGGGATTCCCAGTGCCTGCAGGAAGGACAGAGCGTGGAGAGCCCTCCGCTGTGTCCTCACCTCTGCTGAGCTTGGGGACAATGCTTCCTGAAATCAATAGGAGTGCTGCATTTTGCTGCTGGCACTGCACTGCTGTGGGCAGCATTTCTTTAGGAGGCTTCCCCCGCAGAAATGGGGGCTGGGCACTGTGCTGCTGCTGCCAGGGGGATGTGGAGGTGTGGGGGCAGAGGAGGATCCTGACCTGAGCCCCAGGATGGGATGGAGCAACCTGCACCTTTGCAAATACTTCAAGTGGGGTTTCGCAATAAATGAAGCTGATTTCTCCACCCTCCATCATGGATACAGCTGTGGGAAAAATCCCCCCCTATGTTCCTGTAATGACCACGTTCCTGGGTGTCAAGGGGCTTCCCCACCAGGAGCCACACAATGGTACTTGAAACCTTTTGCTCTTGATGGAGCAGCCCAGTGGTGCCTATTGCTTCCTGCTCCAAGCCATGCCTGTGTGGCCAGGCACCAATCATAGCATCGTGGAATCATTACGGTTTGATAAGAAATCTAAGATCCCTGAGTCCAACCCCAACCCACCTCACCATGCCCACTGACCGTGCCCTTCAGTGCTACATCTCCGTGGTTCTGGAACACCCCCACTTGACTTCACCACCTCCCTGGGCAGCTGTGCCTCTGCACTGCCACTCCTCCAGAGAGGAAACTGTTCTTAATACCAATCTGGCCCTCCCCTGATGCAACTTGAGGCCGTCACCTCTTGTCCTATCACTGTTACCTGGGAGCAGAGACCAATTCCCACCTCACCACAACCTCCTTTTAGGGTGTTGGAGTGATGTCCTCGCTCAGCATCCTTTCCACTCCTCTAACTCAACTCCAGCAGTTAATGCCCCATCAGGGAAATGGAGAACTGTCCCATGCTGGGTGGCACCAGGATGAACTCCAAACCGTTGCAGCACCTGCAGTTAATCCTTGCTCTATTGCTGGGCATTGGGTAGGGGACAGAGGAGATTTCCATGCCAGGCTCCCCCCGACCCATACGAACCACGAGTCGAACCAATTGATGTGGTAAATATAGCGGGAGAAAAGCTATGCAAACATCGAGGGAACCTGGCTCCTGCAATTATCTTTCCTTACAAGAGGTTATTATATCCTTATAATTAATTGTGGGCTCATGCCAGAAAAAGTACAACTTGCATGGGCAAGCCTTGGAGGGAGGAAGACCTGGGCTGGGAAGCAGATCTGTAGGAGGAAGCATTCTTTTCCCACGTTGAGGAGCAGCAAGACAAGTAAATTCAGCGCTGGAATTTTGCTCCATACCTTTTATGGCAAAAAAATGAGGCTTAACTTTGATTTGCAAATACATGTTCCAGCTTAAATCCAACCTGAGCTTTAATGCACAGGGAAGCACGAGGGCACCCGCTTGCTGAGATGTGCTGAGCACAGGCTTGTGGGAAGGGAAAGCACAGCTCAAGGCTCCCACAGCAGCACGCTGATGTGGCTTTATCTGAGGACAGAGTTCAGTTCTCATTGCTCAGTCTTGCCTTCAGTATGAATTAACACAGCTAAGTAATTAATGTTTAATGCATCCAGCATAGGCAGCAAGAGATTTGGAGCGAGCTCCCTTCCAGAGCTGGGCAAAGAGGAATCTTGCAGTTCCTTCCTTCCTCTGAGACTTGCTGTGTTTGCTTGTGGCTCAGCATAGCATGCATGGGTGGGGAGCACACAGGGAGGTGAGAAGAAACAGTTTTACCTTCCTCAGGACAACTACAGTGAGCTGGTGTTGCTGCAGCCAAAAAGACTTAGCAGAGCAGTTCTACAAAGCGTTCTGCTTCCAGCATATCGATATTTCTGACGGAAAGCCATTCTGTCAGAAAATCTCCCTCCAGCTCCAGGCTAGAGTTTCATACCAAACAGTTTTACTGTCTCCCCAGCAACTGGGACTGCTGATCCACTACAATGAATTTCCATAATTAACCTCCAGGAACCAAAAATGAAAACTATTTGTCTGCAGGGTGTTCTCAAACAACAGCTAGAAACCACTTCATTCTGAGCCAAATTCAATAGGATTTTCTCCACAGATTTCAAAGGATCTTCAGATCAGTTTGGTTCAGATCAGAGTTCGGATCCACAGCAGTGTAATCTAACTTTGGATGTTGGTTTTGTGGTGTTTTATTGTTTGTTTGTTTTCTGTTTGGTCTTTTTTTTTTCAGTTTGGATGGGGCTTTGAAAAAAAGATCTCTCTTCTTGTTAAAATTGAATCCTATATTGTCATCATCGCACTCCGATGCCCGCGGATACTCGCTGCTTTGTAAGATGCTGCGCTGATCTCGTACGAGGCAGGAATGCAGAGCAGCACAGGAGGTTTAGGCAAACTGGATTCTGAATCTGGATTTTTGGCTTTCCTCCTCGGGGTGGGGGGGGCTGTTTCATGTACCACCCTACCACAGGAAATGTCCTTGAGATGCGTTGTGCTTTCATGGATGGTAGAGCACCCGGCCGTGCGATTTGTTCCTACTGCGAGCACTAACAGATCATACATAATGGAACAGCAGAGCGGCCGCCGCTGGATTTACATGAGATTGTGTTTATCCAGGAGTTTTCCTACCTTGGCTGCATTTACCCAGGAGGAATAGGCCGTGATCTGGTGGAGCGCTGATTTGAGGCCAAGGGGCTATGAGCCACAGCAGGAGGGCACTGAACC